TAGAAGTAATGCATAAGGCACGAAAAGAAATTGAAACCATTGTTGGTCTTGACCGCCTAATAGACGAACCTGATGTGGCTAATCTTCCTTATCTTCGCAACATCATTGGTGAATCAATGCGGATGTACCCCACAGTTCCCCTACTGGTGCCTCATGAATCAACAAGCAAGTGCAGGGTAGGGGGCTACCGTATTCCACCGGTACGTTACTGTTCGTTAATACCTGGGCGATACAGAACGACCTGATTATCTGGGAGGAGTTGAGAAGGTTTAGGCCTAAAAGGTTTGAAGGAACAATGAAAGATGGGTTCAAATGGTTGCCATTTGGGTCAGGTAGGCGAGCCTGTCCTGGCGACAACTTGGCGTTGAGGATTATTGGTTAACTCACGGGTCTTTGATTGAGTGCTTTGAATGGAAGAGGATTGGGGAGGAGATGGTGGACATGACGGAAGGTACAGGATTCACCATGAATAAGGCTCCGCCGTTGCAAGCTAAATGCCACCCATGTGCTGCCCTGGTTAAGCTCCTTAACCAAATTTGAAACTATCTGCTCCCTGTAACCTTTACCATTACTCTTGAAATACTTCCACTTCATTGTTCAGTGTTGATTTGCCTTTCAGTCAATATCATTACATTTTTGTTTTATTAACTTTTATTTATGTTCAATTTCCTTGACTTTTGTAAAATACAACAGAGTAATTGATGGGGGGAAAACAAAGGCATGTACTACAAACACACAAAAGTAAGGGCAATCTGGTTTAAGACTTCTAAGTTTGAGAGAGCAATTCAACCATGGCTTGACGCGGGTGAGACCTTACTTGCAAAGGATGGGCCTTGGTCATGGTGAGACCAATCCCCTCCACCATATCCACCATTTCCTCTCCAACCCTCTCCCACTCAAAGCATTGAATTGGTGACGCTAATGTCAACCCCACCACATGCGTGGCCAGTCCTTCATCCGGACATCCCCTCCTTCTCGACCTAAAGGGCATGAACTTGAATCCATCCCTATTTCCTTCCAATCCTTGGAATCTCTCCGGCTTAAATTTTTTTGGCTCCTTCCAAATCTTTGGATCATAGTGTATTGCCCATAGATTCACCAACAATGTTGAGCCGCAAGGAATTCGGAATCCTCCAACAACACAATCTTTTGACGATTCATGAGGAAATAACAATGGAGATGCTGGGTACATTCTGAGAGTCTCATTTATGACGCAATGAAGGTACGGTAGCCTACTCAAATCTGATTCTTCAACCAAACGATTCTTGCCCACAACATCATCAATTTCCACTTGAGCCTTCTTCAAAACCTCCGAATTGTTCGACAAAAGAGACATTGCCCACTCCATTGTTACGGCCGACATATCAGTTCCTGCTAAGAGCAAAACAATGTCTGAACTCTAAGCACTACACGGCCAGTCCGGAGTGGTCACTGAAAAAACAGTGTTATTTAGTTGAATGGACCATTTTACCCATATCTTCAATAAATCCGTCATTACCTCGGCAAAGTTTATACTTTCTCCACATTGGCAACTGTTGAACCCACTGAACCTTCCAGATACGCTAGCAGATTTGGATTTTAGGTAGTTGAGTGGGATAATCTAATACTGATTAAATAACAAATAAATAGTTGGATTAAATAATCAACACTTAAATAATTCAGTAATAATTTTTTTCACTAAAAATAAGAGATTTTGAGTTCGAATTACATGTCATGCGAGTAGAGTGAGATAAGAGACGAGAGACAATTGTCTCCCATTGTAACCAACATCAAAAAATAAAAATTATGAATTAAATATAAAAAAATTATTTCAATTTTTGTTAAGTAAATTTTTTTTTGAACATGCATGAGAATTTGTATTATTTAATTAATAATTTACATCAGTACGCAAAAGATTACGTAGCATTGTAGGTGGATTGGTGGTCCAGTAGAGAGGACACAAATTCTTAAGGCACTTTTTGGCCACCCAATCAGCTGCAGAGT